TAATGAGTTAGCAGCCACCATAGCAGTATCCTCACTGCCATCATCAATCCACAACAATGTATGCACGCACCCACCCCCACTTTTGTCCGCCGACATCCTGACTGTAGCAACAGCTTGAATCCCCATTCCAGCCTGAATGGAATGCGCCTCACGAACAAATCAGCCATTTCGTACGTACGCACGTCTAAAATGCATAGTGTGGTAATTGCAATTACATCTTTTTACCTAACAAACGCCTCAATTTGCTCTACTTCAGCGCATTCCTGAAGTGGTTCTGGATTTGAGGGAGGTCATGACCTCCACCAGCATTCCACCAGATATCCAGGAGTTAATGGATATTGTTTGGATTGCGCCAATTTGCATTAGTGCGGGATTGTCAATGATGTTGGTGGTGACGCCTTCGAGGATTTGACTACAGAAATGCGGTTTTGCTTTCGCCCCACCAATCTGTTTGTAATAGAACCAGCTTCTCCATCCGACGCACTTGTGTCAATGCGATTCGCCTTGCCTCTGCTCCTTACACAGCAACCGCATCTGATCGCATTAGCGATGCACCTTGTACCGTAAATGACAGGACCCGCTTTCTTCACTCACTTTCACCCCGTCACTTCATCGTTTTGTGGCCAAAATAAGGAGTTAGCTGGGTGGAATTTGCTTCCGCTCCACACGATACAAAAACATTCCGTTTTTACGTAAGGCTGATGCTCACCATGTGTGGTTACGCGACCGATACACTACACGTGACATTCAAACAGTTCCTGAGGGCATGTTTAGTGAGCCAAATGCAGGCGCTTCCGAATAGCTTGTGCATATTGCTAGATTCTCTTTCTATCCAATTTTTCACAACGCTTGTGTACTAAGCAGCACCAACGCACTCTGATTTAATGTGCTCCTATAAAATGGTTGCGTTGAGTGTGTATGACTGAGGACTCGTGGAGAAGAATGCACGAGGTACTGTCAGTAGCCCTGCAGTTAGTCACCTCGACGAGGCTTGGATTTGCATGGAGAAGGAGGAGGTGTAGGGCCTTACTGTTATTTCTTCTGCTTGATTTTGACCACTGCTGTACAAAACACATTCCTTGGTTCTGAAAAGAGCGTCATTGTCTCCCTCATCACGCTAGTCTTTGACGCCCTGGTTCCAACGAAAGCAACTTTCTCAACAGGCAACTTTGTCCACCTGAATGGCACTAGTGGGACCATGACACTTAAATATGGCCTACATCTTCTTGTATCTCACTCGAGTGAAGAATGCCAGAAGCAGAACAGGTAACTGATCGGCATTGGCGATACATCCTGCACGACCATACACAGAACCTCTACTTTCTCCTGAAGTGCACTCTACTCCTTCA